GTTTATTTTTTTTTTGTCGGAACTGTTTTCTTAAGCTTAGAATCTTCTGTCTTCTTTGCTTAGAATTGTCTCGTATCATAACATTCGCTATGGTTGCGTTTGTGGTAGCGTCTTTCGTTGCGTCCAGACCTGTTGTCCGTGGTTTATATTCTCGTTTTTCTTTTTTTTTTTCTTATTATCTTGCGAGAAATATATATTTATTTCTTTTAGTGCGCATTCTAGGCCTCCTAATGTGCCCCTAATTCCTGACAGAAACGAATTTGGACATATGTCTGCAAACATTTTTTCTTTGTTTTTATCAATAAGGTCCAGATTCCTTGTTTCGGTTAATGTGAACAAGGCAAGGTTGATTTCACAGACTTTGTCGTATAAAACGCGTAGCGACGATCTCCCTTGAACTAAATTATGTAACTCAAACATAAGAGTGGGTTCATCTCTTTTATCTGCGCAATATACAATAAGTGCCTCTTTAATCTGATCCCACTTAAGGCTTCGACTTCTATGATAGCCTCGTTGGCTTTGACCTCAATCTTGTTCCTAATTGCTCTTAAGACCATCTGCCCATAAGGGGTCTGATCGGTTCCCCTAATAAGTAGAAGAATTTCTTCCACATTATTAAGGAACACGCTCAGTGTCTTACGGTTACCATCGTAGGATGGTAGAAATTGGATCGCGTCTGTATCTTCAAAGCTGAAATCGCGTCCATTTGGTTTCTTAATGCCTCTCCTTGATTAGGAGGAGACGAACTTGATATTGACGTCATTGGAGTGTTATCGTCCGCTCTAACAAGTCTAACGTACGAAAGACTAGAACTGATTCTTTGTTTACTTCTGGTATTTGGCATGAGTCTTTTCACTCTCTCAATATTCGACATTTACTAGCTTTTATCTGTACCTTGGTTATTTGCTATTGTTATCGTGCTATCTTTTCAAATTCTGACTTAATCTGTTAATGTTTTAATCTAATTTCAAGTGTTTGTGTTAAGACTCATTTAATTAGAGTATACAATGTGTTTTTGTGTGTAGGTTACTTATTACTAGTTTTCCATTAGATTGTGTTTAATATGTGCACATTTACACGAAGCTTGCAAAAGGTGAAGGTCGCCGTGGTGGAACGTGTTTCTTATCTGTAGATTGGATTTTGTTAGTAATGTATTCATAATTAATTTTAGTTAATTTCATTATAAAAATGTGTAGTGTGAAATGGTAAAACATATCATTTCATATTCTTTGTTTTTGTAAAAAAATTATAATCATAAGTGGTATTCGGATAGTTATGTTCTTCTAGTCAATAAGTAGCACTGAGATACCAATTCAAACATATTAGTCGCAACTCATTTGTCGCGTGCGGAGTTTAATTAATTGTGGATTTCTGCGTTTGGTGTACGAGTCGCTTTGAAATGCAGCACCAAACGCCGTATATTCGAGCTTGTTGTGTCTTGCAGGCGACTTGTTCGCTGGGTTTGATAATAATGTGTTACTGCCTTTGGTCTATAAGTCGTCCTGAAGTATAGCCTTAGATCCCATTTCTTCAAACTTTTTCTTTTTATTTTAACTAACAAGATAATGATATAAAGGAGCTTCATGATCCGTAGTCCGACTGCGCCAGTTAGCAGAGGGGAGCCTTGTCCAGTGTTAAAGGTGACTTCCTTTTAGTGCCTGGTAACGTGTCCTCTGCAGTTGAAAAGGTTTCTCCAGTTTAAGTTTCTTATTAGGTAAAGAATTTAATGATGCGAAATAAGAAGATTACAACCGCTTTGTGTTGAAGTTCAAACCCAAACTGAATATTCTTTATTAACAGAAGTATGTATATATCTTAATGTCTACAGGCTATCGATGGTGTCCCATTTCTATATGTGTCGCAACATAAATGTAATAAGCTAAATGTTGTGTAGGCACTTTTGGTCAAGTACAGGGTGTCTTAGTTAGGGTCGCCCACACAGTGAAGATTGTTTATGTTAGCTTGCCTCGTGGAGGCTTGGGGGGTGCCATCTCGAGAGGGGCTGAGATAGTAACTAGCGCGTAATGCGAGCTGTTTATGATTAGAATTTGTATGTATAAGTATGCATGTATCACTGAACATATCTACGTACATATGTATGCATTCTCAAATTAATTTTAAAAAATATTAATTTACGCTAAATATTATTTTCTTATTCAAAAATCAATATTTTTATTAAAGCTTACGGAAGAATGTTATTATATGTATGTATGTATACAGGCACGGACAAAAGTATTGGCAATTTAATATTATCTAATTTTATTGTGCGCCTTATTGGGTTTTCTTCATTCTTTAATTCGGTCTTTTGAGCGAAAAATATTAACCTCTTTCGTCGGAGAATATGACATCGTTCCTGTAAGTTAAAGGCTTCGATTTAAACTTTTTGGCAGATGTCAATCTCTTCGATTAGTTAATACTCGAAATGAGTAGTTTACGTCTTGCAATTCACGCATTGTTCCCAGCCTTGTGTAGTACCCTCTGTAAAGTTTTGGAGCGAATTCCTTTAACAGTCTCTTCTTTAACCTCTATTACTATTTGGAATGATAAGATCTTTGCGTTTTTTTTATCTTACGTATTATTTTGGCGCAATGATGACTCATAACCTTTCGTGGGCGGCTACCGTAAAGTCGTCCGAAAATCTACGGATTATGCTCCAAATAGTTAATTGACTTCTGTCCTATAGCTTGCCAAGTTCTTAATAGGATCTGCCGTGTTTGCGTAAAATTATTATTATTACTATAATTTTCGATGCTCTACGGTGGTTTCACACTTCTTACCGGCTTTTCTTGCAAAAAAAATATATAAATTTATCCTAAAACAATTTTTTCTAATAATTTTTGTATTTTCAAATAACGGTGCTTTCAGATTTACATTTTGGCATATAAAACTGTGTCCATATCAAAAATAATATTAAAATAACAACGTTATATTGAAAATTGCCAATACTTTTGTCCCTATAAAATTACGTGTACTTGGAAATTAATTATTCTTAAAACTTAGCCATGCTGCCAATGCTTATCGAAATAATTGGATTGCTTGAACAAATATCTAATAACCGCATAAAAAATATAAAATTATTAAATATTGGACAAAATCGACAATAAAACTAGATGATATTGAATTACCAATACTTTTGTCCGTGACTGTGTATATATTCTCACACATACATACATATGTTCGTTTTAGGCTTAGTTCTAATCAGTGCATATACAAATATGAACGTGTATACATTATAATAGGGTGCATACATATGTCTGTTCATATTATTTATATTCCACAGTTAGTAGATGACCACAAAGTAGAGCTCTTCAACATTATTACGATAAAACTGCCCTCGTAATTTAAGAATTATATATAATATAATTACGTAGCTTTAATCATAAAGAATGCTGCTTATGTAAAATTAGCAGACAGTCTAAAAGATGTTGATTGATTGATGCATTTGTTAATATTATCGTTCGATGTTGTTATATGTGTGATTGCAATAATAAAATAAGTAGCGCGCATTTTCATTTGTTTATCAAATCATGATGATAGGAGAGGGAGTATTTTCCGGCACTCTAACTTCAAATATACTCAGAAGAAGCAGTAATCGATTTACTATGTAGCCTGCGATTGCCATCACACTATAAACTTTCGCGTGTTGTCGTTATTCGATTGCTTGATTTACCAAAAATGTTCAAGCAAATAAATTATTTTAGCCGGTTCGGAGCTGCTCATAATCATTTTTTTGCAGTATTTTGAATCATTTTAATAAATACAGGACATAATAAACAAAACTAGTTTTCGAACGTTAATATTTGGCATGTATCTGCAAGTGTGTGATAAACTCTTATTAGGAACCGTATTTGTGCGAATGCCATTTGTATAGCCGGTGTTGCGAAACATGACATGTAGCTTCTAGAGTATGTTATACAGGGCAAGTATCTTTCACAACAGAACATTTTAATGCACATATTTGTTTATTCTATCACACAATAAGATCTACAGCTGAAAATTTCATCCATAGCCGTTGAAATACACAAAAGTTATTTAATCACATGTTTGCTTATATAGACGCGTGTTTGCAGAAGTTAGCGAAAATTGCAAGTATTTCTGTATAAATGTACACACACATTAATGAGCGTCTTTATTGAATTCTATAAGCAGCATAGCAATTGCGTGTCCGTTTGTCTATCCGTCCGCCCGTCCGTAGAGACTTGAAATAAGCTGTAGGTCCTCCTAGTGCCTGCGCAGATCGAGTTTGTGTCCGATAATCGTTAACTTAATCCGTTTCCAATCAATCGGTAAAAATCGATATCGACATCCTGTTTTTTAAGCAAATTGGGTTAATATTAAGATCTAAAGTCCTCAAACATGATATGTTGCTTCTAGAATATTCATTCTATATCTATCGCCACCTCGCCGCTACCACCCCAGAGCTATAAATCAAGTTAATAACCCAACTTATACTGCCAACCAATTTAAGCTGCAACTTTAATGCAATTGACTTCTTGAGTATACACAAATATTCCATGGTACACTAAGATATACTGTAGAAAATTTCATTAAGATCGGTTAAGAAAATACCAAAGTTAAGGTTTACTTCGCAATTGTATGGGGCAGCTAGTGCAAATTCCAAGAATTTCTGTATACATGTATACACACACATTCATGCGCGTTTGCTTCGAATTATATCAACGGGATTGCAATCGCGATTGTTTTGTGTGCTGTTATTTTAATTCGTTCTTTTCTCAATAATACTTAATTATTGGTGTGGCTGTTGAGTAGAGGCATAGCATGTGGTGCGGTCTGTTGCGAGTTCGAGCCCTACCGAGGAAACTATTTTTTGGCTGGTGTGGCTGTTATGTAGACACGGAAGCAAGTAATGCGGTCAGTTGCGAACTTGAACCCTGCCAAGGAAACTTAATTTTTTAATTTGTTTTTAGTACTTCAATTGCGTATAGTTTTGGAATAAGAGGGTTCAGGTAATCCCTAGTCGGGAGCTCCCTTGTAGAACCTCTTACTTGTTTATTTATTTTAAAGTATTTTATTGTGAATGTAATAATTACATTAAATTTTGTTTACAGAGTACAGAAATGCTTTAAATGTCTAAGCAGCTTTATTCGTAAAAGTGCTTTTCAACCCAACGAGGTAAAGTGAAAGCAGCAGCATGGATTTCACTTGTGTAGTACTTCAAATTTAATGCATCTATTTCGGATTTCTCAAACTTTTTCACTGGGTTTTCTAGCCTATGTTTTATATCCAAGGATGCAACTATAAATCCTATGTGACCACATGGATAAGATGGAACAGAAGTTATGGCATATCCTACTTTTGGAAAATGCAAGGCACATCCTTTCAACGTTTTCTTTACGTATTCAAAGTCCAACCAAAAACTTCCCGCTTGAGAGCATACAACACCTCCATCTCTCAGTGCTTGTTTTAGTAAATCAAAGTAGCTTTCATGAAACAAGTTAACGGCAGGACCAATTGGATCCGAGCTATCAGTTATAATGACATCAAATTCGTTTCTGTGATTTTTCATATACTCAAAACCATCGCCGATAGTAAGCCTTAACTTTTTGCTATCGAATCCACATGCCATAGAAGGTAGGTACTTTTTCGAAAGTTGAACAACACGATCGTCAATTTCGACTTGGTGAACTTCTTTAACCAGCGGATGCTTTACAACTTCGCGTGCTACACCGCCATCACCACCGCCAACAATTAAAACTTTCTGTGGGTTTGGATGACAGCATAGCGGCAAAAAAGATATCATTTCCTGGTAGGAAAACTCATCCCTAGAAGTACATTGAATGATTCCGTCCAGTATTAAGCACCTTCCATATGTTTCTCTGTGAAAATAAAGTGAAGGGTTGATTAGCGAAAGGGTATAATTTACATAAGAAGTTAATGAAATTATTTTTCAGCAATTTTGGATATTCCACCCGTAACAGTCGTAAATTGGCGGAAAACAATTCGACTATCATGTCAAAACTATGGTCAATAAAGCCAGAATTGTTTTGGGTTTCATCAAGCGATGGTCAAAGGTGTTTGAGAGTCTGTTTGCCGTTCGTGGTTTAAATTGGGATCCTTGTATGCGGTTACTATATACTCCAGGAGACTTCTAAAGACTAATCTTCTTTCTTTAATTAATAGTTGATCTATAATTGGTGAAATATTTTTTTTTGAGTTGATAACGGGTGAAAACCACTTCTCTATGTTGACTAGCCAATTCAACTTGTCTGTCCCTATACACTAAACACCTATATTGAAACGAAAAAAGCGTTTAGTGGATAACTTCAAAAAATTTGTAAAACTGTTTCCAGTAAATAGTACAAGTACACAATGGGTTATAGATGCGCAGAGTAAATATTCTGAATTCTAGATGTTTTTAACACTAACTTTCGTAGTAATAATGGCACATTTTTATATGGTAAGCCAAAGTTTGTTGTAGTATATTTGTAGAGTGCCTATGCAAAATGCTTCTTTGGTCCCCATTTTTAGTTCCTTTATTATATTTTTTTGTGGCGGGATTTGATTTTCACAAGAAATAAGTATTAGTTCAAACAGAGATCAGTGTGCATTTGGCAGTAACACTGAGCAATTTAATAAATATTTCATAATTTTTATACCCTGAACCCATTAAAATGGGTAAAAAGGATATATTGTGTTTAAGCAACATGTAAATGTAAGTAACAGGCAAAAGGAAGCATCTCCGTAAAGTATATATATTCTTGATCAGCATCAATAGCCGAGTCGATCTAGCCATGTCCGTCTGTCTGTCTGTCCGTATGTATGAACGCAAGGATATCACAACCTATATGAGCTAGAGACTAGAAATTGTAGCTGTATGCACTAGGAGAGTGCCTGCACATATCGAGTTTCTTTCCGATAATCGATACCCCATTTACAAACAATTGAGTAAATAATAAGAGCTAGAGTCAACAAAGTATCAAGTATCTTTAATTTTATACCTATCGCCACCTCCCCGCTACCACGACAGAGCTACAAATCAAGTTAATAACCAAACTTGTATTGCCAACCAATTTTAGCCAAAATTTAAATGCAATTAACTTTTTGAGAATACACAAATATTCCATGGTACAATAAGGGGGCAGCGACGGCGTCGTAGGCTAGCTTTGCCCATTATAACGAAAATTGTATTTCATAAGTCTAAGTTTGGATATAAATAAAGCGAAGCGTACCGCTCCTAAAATCACTGTTCCTAGTTAACTCAACTGCATTTATTAATGCAAATAATCAAAACATATAAAACTGCATTTAAAAATGCACTTATTGGCGCCCAGCGTACAAACCCGCAAGTGGGATAATTTTTTAATAATTAACAGACCCGAAAGTCAAAAATTCGCGGCAACAAAAAACAATTTTTAATAATTAAAAAACGCGAAAGTCTAAAATTCGCTGCAACAAAAAACAAGTTTACCAATTAAAAAACTCGAAAGTCAAAAATTCGCGGCAACAAAAAACTCGAGAATAAACCTACAAGTGGAACTACGAGCAAAAATAAAGCCACAATACGACGCTTCGCGAAGAATACCTTTTGTGACTGCAGCGAGGGAGCTCATCATAGTGTACTAGATTAACCATAGTCTCAACAGGATCATGTAAGTGACTTATGACGTGAGAATAAACATATTGGATATAGTTTCAAGCATTTCTGATTAGTTTAAGTTGTCTTGTAAGGTAGCAGCACACTTTTCTTTTGTTAAATAAATTTCATTATATATTTGTAAAAAAAAAAACAAAAAAAAAAAAAAAATAGTTTCAATAGTGCATGAAACATATCATAACAGTTTAAAAAAGAAAAAGAAAATATAAACAAATATATAACAAATAACGGTTTCGGTTAACCCAATTCGCCACAAAAGTAAGCAAAAGGAAACCTATTTTGGGAATTTTTTTATACGTCAGCTCGAAAAACCTTAAATCACTCTGTGAACGGTTTTGCTTGGAATTTTGTTTAGGTGCGAATGAGTGACTGTGACTCCGACGTACACGATCAGGGACACTACGACAGCGACTATAGTGTTTTTGCTCGTTTAATAGGAGATTTTGATACATTACAGATATCAAGGTATGCTGTTCCATCTGAACCAGACACAAACACAGATTTAGCTATGGATCCTGAGCAGTTGCGCATGATAATTGATGCCGCAGTGCAGACTACGCTCGCAGCACAAGCGCAAGAGTTCGTGAATAGGGAAGGTGCGCTAAGGCAGGAGCTTCAACAATAGATTGCACAGGTGTCAAGCAAGTTAAGAAACACACATCTTTCAGTGCCAGAAATGAAGGTTTATAAGGAAGTTGAAATCATAGACGGGGCGAAATGTAACGATCCGCTCGACGTGGTAAAATGTCTTACTGAGTTCCATGGGACTCAAGACACTTACGTGTCCTGGAGGCAGGCCGCGTATGCGGCCGTTACTACCAAGCCACCGTAATCATTAGGAGTGAAGTGAGAGGCCCGGCAGACGCGGTTCTTGCCTTTTTTAACACGATTACTCACTTTACTTATAGTGACAAGCGGCCTATCCATGTAATTGAACAGGAAATGGGTACGCTTATGCAGGGCGGCATGTCCACTCTACAGTACTACGACGAGGCTAAGAAAAAACTTACGAACAAAGCCCATATGACGTATGACAGCAATTTGGCGATTGCAATTTGGTGTTGCAGTTCGCGTATTCATCTCTGGACTAAAACGCAGTCTAACCGATGTGTTGTTTTCGGCTCACTCTTCTGATCTGCCGACGGCACTAGCGTTAGCCCAGGAGGTCGAGGCTAATCACGAGAGATATGCATTCGCGACAAGCTTTGCTAGAGCACAGAGCAGCGCCCACAAGGGCGCCAGCAACAACAGCAACAAGAGAAAAAGCAATTCTCTCAGGGTAGCCAGGGCAAGAATCCTCATATAAAGAAGCATGACGGCCAATCCACAGAAAGAGCCCAGAATAGAGCTTAGGCCGATAATGCCCCAGGTCCCATCGAAGTCGACCCTTCTTCTTCCAGGTTTAGACAGCCCACAAACTTTTCGAATTCCCAAGGCTCGGCATAGTTTAACGCCAGCCAAGGTCAGGGAAATAAACGCCCTGCCGGATCGGACCGCGACGGGCCAAAGGAGGCAGAGGGTAGACCACATCCAGAAAGCGAAGCTGAGAGCGCAGGGTATGCCGACGCGGCACAAGAGGCATTAGACGAACATATCCCAGATTATGATAGCGATAGCGCCCATTTTTTAGGGGAAAATCCCTGCTACCGTTCATTCGACGGAGAATAGCGGGGATAGAAATGAAATTTGTAATCGACACGGGTGCGGAAAAAACCTACATCAGGCCGCACAAACGCTTTATAGGCGTCGTCCCTGTCAAATCCCCTTTCGTTGTCCACTCTATCCATGGGTCCAACAACATCGCTGAAAAGTGCAAGTTGTCCATGCTTAGGTGCGATACTTATTTTTTCCTACTAGACTCCTTATCCACTTTTGATGGAATTATAGGGCTCGACCTGCTAAAGCAGGTGGGAGCGGTTTTATGACTACAAAAGAGTATGTTGAAATTTGGTGTGACATCGGAAGCGTAGCAGTACAATAAATGTGCGAACGTAAGCCACACAATGAACAAAGGTGTTGAGGGCTACACCCCTAGGGGTTTGTCATTTCGAAAGTCAACGAATTTCTTAAAAATGGCATAATCAGGGAGTCGAAATCGCCATACAACAATCCGTTGCGGGTGGTCGATAAGAAAGGCACAGATGAGTTAGGTAATTAAAATAAGCGTCTGGTGATAGACTTTAGGAAACTTAACCTCAGGACTGTTGCCGACAAATACCCAATGCCAAGTATCGCAATGATACTGGCTAATCTAGGTAAAGCCAAATACTTCACGACGACCTGAAAACAGGTTATCACCAGATTACTCTGGCAGAGCAAGACCGTGAGAAGACGATCTTTTCGATCAATGGGGGAAAGTACGAGTTTTGTCGACTTCCCTTTTTGAAGAATGCAGCGAGCATTTGCCAGAGGACCATAGATGACGTTCTGCGGGAGCAAATTGGAAAATCTTGCTACGTTTATGTAGACGACGTCATCGTGTTTGCGGAAAACGAGTCCGACCATGTCAGGCATGTCGACTGGGTATTAGGGAACCTTTTAAACGCAAACATGCGTGTGGCCCCCGAGAAGTCACAGTTTTTTAAAGGTAGCGTCGAGTATCTCGGCTTTATAATTAATAAAGATGGTGCAAAATCTGATCCAGAAAAGGTAAAAGCCATTCGGGAATACGCTGAGCCGACTACGGTGTTTGAAGCAAGATCCTTTTTGGGATTGGCAAGCTATTACCGCTGTTTTATCAAAGATTTCGCAGCAATAGCGAAACCAATCTCTGACATCCTAAAAGGGGAAAACGGATCCATTAGCAAGTACAGGTCAGGAAGGTCCCTATACAATTCAACGATGCTCAGCGCAACGCGTTCCAGAGACTTAGGAACATATTATCTGATGTATCCGGACTATAAAAAACCATTCGACTTGACTACAAACGCCTCAGCCTACGGCATTGGCGCAGTTCTGTCACAGAATGGCCGCCCCATAACGATGATATTCCGGTCTTTAAAAGATAGTGAAAACTACGCTACTAACGAGCGAGAGTGGCTTGTCATCGTTTGGGCATCAGGCAAATTACGACACTTTCTTTACGGAGTTAAAGATATAAACATTTTCACTGAACACCAGCCGCTTACGTTCGCGATATCCGCGAGCAATCTCAATGCAAAAATAAAGCCTGGCAAAGAGAATCATGTAGCTGACGCACTGTCGCGTCAGAACGTGAACGCC